CGAGGGGAAGGGCGGCAAGGGGGGACCAGAGGCGAAGAAGGGAGAGACCTGGAGAAGCAGCTACCGCACCTCCACCTTCCTCATCCCTCCCGGGGTTGCTGCCGCCTAAACTCTCCCCCCGGATGGCACCGAGACGCCGGGATGCCGGGAAACCCGGACCGCAGCTTTCCGTTCCCCCGCGCAATCCCATCCCGCCCCGCCTTCCGCCGCCCTGAGGCGCCGGGCCGGGCTGTGGCCAGGCCGGGTCGGGGAGGGCGCCGTTCGGCTTTATTTCTGTCCGTGCAGAAAATGATCCCCGTCTCTGCTGCTGAACTCTTGGTGACACGTTACTCCCTACAAATAAGACATATTTTCTACCTCAGCATCCTAAAAGCAAATAACAGATTCCCCCGCTTGTGGGGTTTGTGACTAAAGCACGGTGGCGTAATTACCCTGCTGCGTGATAAACACACCATGAGGCCAAACCGTGCGGCCTAAAAGGCTTGGGAAGTGGTGCCTGGAGGAAAGAGACATTTCCCTGGGAAGTCTAGAAAGACCTTCAACGACACGTGCTCACAAAAGTAACGGTTTTGCAGAGTTTTGCCGCCTCGGCTGAAGGACGGACGGGGGTCCCTGCAGTAGGGGGAGCCTCCTCAGCGAGCGCAGCTTGGCTGGGGTTACCTCAGAGGAATGCCAGGCAAGGGGCTGGAAACATCCAGAAAAAGATAGAAACTGTTTGCAGTTGAGTCCTGCGTCCAGTTCTGGGGTCCCCCGCACAAGAAATACATGGACCTGTTGGAGTGCGTCCAGAGGAGGCCACAAAAACGGTCAGAGGGCTGGAACACCTCTGCTATGAGGAAAGGCTGAGAGAGTTGGGGTTGTTCAGCCTTAAGAAGGCTCCAGGGAGACCTTATTGCAATATATATTGCAATTATACTTAAAGGGGGCTTCTAAGAAAGATGGGGACAGACATTTTACCAAGGCCCATAATGACAGGACAAGGGGCAACAGTTTTAACCTGAAAGAGGGTAGATTTAGATCAGACATAAAGGAAGAAATATTTTGCAATGAGGGTGGTGAGACACTGGAACAGGTTGGCCAGAGAAGCTGTGAATGCCCCATCATTGGAAGCGTTCAAGGTCAGGTTGGACAGGGCTTTGAGCAACCTGACCTAGTGAAAGATGACCCTGCCCACAGCACGGTGTTGGACTAGATGATCTTTAAAGGTCCCTGCCAACCCAAACCACTCTGTGATTCTGTCTCATAAAAGAACACACAGATGGCAGAGCAAAGTGTAACAGATTCACCATAAAAGCCTGTTCATAAAACACAAAGACATGGATAAGGCTCATTAGGTTGTAGCCCTGTTGGGACAGGGAAAGTCCAGTTCAGAGTTTTGACTCAGCCACCTGTGTATACAGCTCAATATGGACTCTATTAGTGAAATCTTAAACTCTTTATCAAAATTTTCACATAAAGACAGGCTGTAGATTTTTTTTTTTTTTTAAGAAATCTGCCCTAGCCCAAGAATAAGAGGGCCAGTAGAAGATGTCTTTTATGCTTTCCTCTCAAAAAAAAAAAAAGACAACAACCTACCAAAAACCTCAAAAATCCACCTTTTAAAAATCAGATCATTGATTAGACCATCTTTGTGAGTGAATTTGCAACACTGAAGACAAAATAAGTCATTCTATTAGATAACACTTTATTAAAGTTTTTTGTTTGGTTTTTAATATAGGTGCATTTTCCTAAGAGCTTTGCTTATTTTCATTCTTTTGTTCATGCAGACTGGAATGAAACAAAAATAATTATTTGCATGTCCAGCATTTATTTCTTAGAAAAACAGGAGTGCCAGCTCACTCCTACTTTTCCTTCACCTGTCCTTTTTCCAAGATTCCACCTCTGTGTGATGGGTGAGATTAGGATCTGACTCCTAGCAGGAGGAATGGAAGAGGGCAGAACAGAACAGACAACAAATCAAAGATTTAAATCAGTGGAAGTCTGGACACTTTGGTATAACAGGGAGAAATACCCTAGAAACTGTCCCGGATAGCAGCTGCATTGGCACGGAACAGATAATAAGTCTCCGCTGGATTTCTCTGGTGTCCCGCAGAAGAGGTAGCTGCAGTAATTTGTATTGTCTTTCTGCTCTGTGTGTTGAGCCCCCTCTCCCAGCCCTACTGGGAATTCAAGAGGCAATCATGCATGCTGAGGAAACTCCCAACAGCATGGCTGTTTCAAAACTATTTGGATAAGCTTGCTGGAAGTGAAGGCTATAAGAAAGCTGAGAAGCAGGTGGCAGTGAGGAACTCAGCTTACAAAGTGAAATTTCAGCTTTCTTTTCCAACATGTGCATGATCCAAATCCCTGCTACTCACAATATAGTTCAGAAAAGGTCTGCCCAAATTTTATCTTTTTTAAACACTAATGCAGAGAAAAGTTTTCACCCAGGTTCCTTTGCTGGGATATTTTATTTGGTTTTGAGCTTTTAAGTTACCTTGAGATTGGTAACAGGCTGCCCTAAACAGCCCCAATAAAGGATGTAGGTACATAGTTGTCATTTAGATTGTGCTGGAGACCTCATCGTTGCCCCATCCTGTGCTCCTCATTCATGGGGCAGAGCTCTTCCTACTTGCAATGAAACAGAGAAAGACAGAATCAGAGTAGTAATTGATGTCTCTCTCTTTTTTTTTAAAGAATGAATTAACCTGGTAATCAGTCATCTTTCACTGATGTGCAGCTTACGTAGTACAAGTCATTGCACTATGATGCCAGCTGATTAAACAATAATAAAACATAGAATTTGATAATCATAATTCTGGTTTTGGATAGAAAATACACCCAATCACCTCTCACTCACTGTTGATGAATAAAGATAGATATCTTATTGCTATAAAAAAAAAAATTGTTTACTGATGAATTTTGTATACCTTAATGAAAGAGAAGTTGGCAGCATTTACAGGCCTAAGCATAAGATAACTTTGCAGACCCTACTATCTCTGCAGAACTGTCCTCGAGATGTATTTTTTGATATCTAGAAACAACTGTCTGTAGAACAATCACTACTTAGTTTAGCACTATTAGAAATCAAATCAGTCTCATCACCAGTGGTACTAAATAACATCTGACCTAGTTTGCAACACATAAACCAAATTTTAACACTATAGGACAAAATTTATTTGCAGTTAAGCTTAAACGCTCAAGGAAACAGCTTACGGTTGATCATTACTTCAATAGCATACAATCATTTATTAACCTCATTGAAAAATAGCCAAGTCTTGTAAGTAAAATGGGGATTGGGACAGCCTATAGCTGAAAGCTTGGAAACACCATATGACCACAGGCTAGTCACTTAGCCTTCTAGAAGTCAATTTCCCAGCTATAAAAAGTGCATAATATTTGTCACATGCCTTTTATAAAGCTATTCAGAAAATTAATTAATCATCTAATAATTGCAGATCACCTGATTCTATACCTGTTTTCTTTTTAAAGCATCTCTTCTATTTTAAAGTATATCCAGTCTTATCAGTCTGTTCTTCATGAAACCTCTGGTCTGGTCTGAAGCAAGAATGCAAGCAGCTGTGTTTAGCTTGTGCCCAGTAACAAATTAATGTAGCAGATCCACAGCTGGTGTAGATTGTTGTAGCTCTCTTGATTTTAATGAAGCTGTAGCAATGTATACCAGCTGAGGATCTGCTTGTATAGTTCTGCGAGTCAGCAGAGAGCGTAATCCAAAAATACCAAATTGAACCTTATAGCCCAGTTATAACAAAACGGGTGAATTCATTCAATATGCTTTTGTGGAAAACCCTGCGACCACAGGGAATCGATTATTTGCTTTTATGATGCTAAAGAATAAAATATGCACGGTTTGTAGGAAATAATGTTGTAACATTGTAGCAATAACTCAAGACCTCCTAGGAGTGGAAAATGGTTTTATTTTAAATCTAAACTGATTTCAGTCATTCACTTATACTTTCATCACATATCAGTTTTGGATATGCTTTTCTGTAACCTGACCGTGATTATTTTCACCATCCTGTCCCACGCTGGCAAGTCATTGGGATTTACACACTGCCCTTTGCCTCCTCATCTGGGTGTCCTGCTAAGCTGCAGGTAGATATGTGCTAGGATCTTGATGACCAGCTAATCGAGGTGCTTTGAATACATGTCCTTCTTGTAACTGTTCTCCAGCTGGTTTTTCCTTCTGATGCTTCCACACCCAGATGTTACTATTCATCCTCCGTGCATACTAATCCTAACATTTCTGTAACAATTTTCTACATACTGAGAATGTGCATGTTTCGATATAGCTGTTACCCCTGTTTTATTTATCTAGATTAGGTTATATTTAATAGATAAATAAAAAAGGAGCAGACTGAAATAATCTGCATGGCTGTTATCTGACTTGGCCCTCGAGAGGTTAAACGGATCTGGCTCTAGTAATAGCTATAGTGTTACACATAACGTTCTTTTTTAATTCATCTTTTTCAAAGAAAAGAAAGCATAAAAAATAAACAATGGAAGAATTCCTAAACTTTCCTTAAAGAAAAATTAGACAAGGCTAGAACTGAATTTCAGGATCCTGAAATGCCAAATTGTCCCTTCATTTGTGAAAGAAAACTTAATTTCCCACTTGCTGCAACAACATAAGCTATGTAACTCTTTTACCCTACTATTCTAAATGCATAATACTCCACTTCTTATAGAAGGCGCACTGTTTGGAGTAGGTAATTAACATTTTAGTTTTAATGCTAACAAAAAGTGAGCAATTGCTCTTTTTGTGGGTGTACGCTATAGTATATTGATACGAAAAACCAGACTTTATTCAAATAAATTTTGATTCTCTTTAAGTTTTAAGAATTATAAGATTTTCCCTTAAAATATTGTAACGAAGCCTCCGCAAACTGACAGTTGCAATTCAATTACATGAGTTGCAGGGGCAGTCTGTGAGTTAACTGCAACACGTTATCATTAATGTTGTTTCTGCTTTTGTAAGGTCTTCCATGCTATAAACATGTGCTGTACATGCAATGTGTTACAGCGATTTCCCTGGTGTTATTTTTAGTGAATTCTGGGCTAAATAGGCACATGCCACGGTATATAACT